GTCTGGCACATTTAAACTTCCACCACACAAACAATTTAAAGTGGTTAAGACTTCTTCTGTGTTTAATATCGATGAAACTGCAGCCCCCTGTACACTTCTGTCCATCTTTAGGACGGCTGTATGGAAAGTAATTTCATTGTACTCCACTAAGGATTGTAAAAGCATTCTGATTCTGATATGAAACTGTGTCCAGCTCTGTAAGGAATCTCATGTTTTAGTCTCGCAAGATCTCGTTACGTCCCCAGTTTCTACAAACACCCGATGAACCATTTTGCTCCATATGCTCTCGGGGCCTGGGTCTGACAGCTGCAAAATAAATCTCTGTCACTGCTTTGATCTTTGGCTTGTTCAACTGAAACATGAATGAAACGTATGGAAAAACTAACCTGTTGTAGCTGAGGCTGAACTCAGACCTTCCTCCTGGTCTGGAGCTACTGTAAACTGGACGCTGACCTAATCTAATTCATTATGAGGGTCTGCTGCAGAGCGCTGTTGGGCTTTACATTTTTGTCTGACAACCTAGCACGACTGTTTTAATTTTGCCCTGAAGGCTACGCTTTACTCTGATGCCACACTGAAATTACCAGCATCATCTCACCACTTCTGCATTTATTTTTATGTTTTACTTCCTTCATGCGTGTTCTTTTCTGAAAGGCAGTCTTGCAGCTCGTGTTCCTGCTGAACTCGGGGTACACAACAGCTTTCTGTATGCTTTTGTTGACGCATGTCAAGGCATCAAGTTGGAGTCTCTTCACTCAGACAGCAAGATGCCTAATCTGAGACAGACCAGGGAGAATCATAAATATTAGGGCATTAGCACGAATTAAGTTTAAAAAAAAAAAAAAAAAAAGAACCATTTTAAGTTATTTGCCTTTTGATTTAACTGTATGAAAATTACTTTTTTCAGGAAGTGAACGGGGTGTACTGATGTTGATTGCACCCTGTTATGTTTTGGAGTTAGTGTTGTCATTCAATTTGATTTGGGTGCCGTCAGCTTCAGATGTGGATACATTTGTTGGTGCCATTCTACAAGAATACAAAAAAAAATAAATGCACAACTAATGTGAACAACGTCAAGAAGCTCCAGTTTTTCTATTTAGTCCCAGAAACAAATTTGGGAGCTTTACAAAAGGCAGTTTGGTCAGTTTATTTTAACAATGGAGCCTTTTGGATCTTCCACAGAACCCATTCTATTCAAAATTCAACTTGTTGTGTGATCAAGCTGGAGTTCAAGTTATGCCTGTGGTTTTAGATTTTTTTTTATTTTCTTGTTCTCCATCTTCTACCACTTGTCGGGTCACAGAAATAAGTCCTGGAGAGAAACCCAGACATCCCTCTCTCCGGTGACCATTTCCAGCTTGTCCTGGTGGATCCCGAGGCGTTCCCAGGCCAGAGAAGACACACAATCCTTCCAGCATCTTCTGGGTCATCTCCAGGGCCTCCTACAGCTGGGACGTGCCTGGAAACCCTTTCATTGTCTTGGTCTTTTCTCTCTTTTATAGTATCCGTCTCATCAGCCTAGGGTTGCATTCATCTTGCAGCCACGCCCTGGGAGGTTGGCTACACTCCCATGAATCTTGTACTTTTTAATAATCTTGTCAGCTGTAATCAGAGGAACTTTTTTACCATGTGCATCTATAATCGGAGCTCTTTAGACAGCTCTTTACTTTCTCTGCTCCTTGTTCAGTGTGGCGCTCACAACACCAAACTACTCAGAGGCTGTTAGGCTGAATGTCTGATGAAAAGCTTGAAGCCACTCATGATACTAAGGTCAAAACCTTAGTTTGAAACACAACCATAATGCAATGATTATTAGTCTCTTTAAGGGTACCAATAAACATTTATGTACTATTTTAGCTTCTAGTACTAAATATATAATGCAGATGAGATGGCTGCTTTGAACAGAATCACGTTCCACTAGAAATTGCTTCAATGAACTGTGAGTGTACTTACCCAGCAACTAAATATTTTCTTGCTGCAACGTAGGTCATCTTCTTTTTCTGTTTCGTGTGCAGTCCTGTAAACAAATGTGAATGCATTAGCAAACCTATTGTCCATTTATCCAAACTATATTAAAGTGATCATGCAGACCCTGAAAAAGGTTATGCTTTTAGGGTTAAAATCAGGATTTTTTTTTTTGACTATTAAAAAAAATAATTCCTAAGTTGTACTTCTTGTGCCTGCAGGCATTTTAGTTTGTCACAGCAGAGCTCCGACAGGCGCTCAGCTGGACTTGGCCACTTGGCAAACGATTCATCTGCAGCTTTCCACTGAGCTGAGATCCACGATGCTTTCCTCGCTCCATTCCACAAGAGTCACAAAGCCCACGCAGTCGTAGTGGAGCTGTTGTCATGGCAACATAAAAGACCGTATTAATGCCCCATGATCTCTCTGTGATGTTTAATGATTTGGTTTTTTTTTTTTTTTTTTTTTTTTCTCTGCTTTGCAGGAACTGGAGTAATGATGGCAGAATTCACTGTCAGCATATTTTTTTGGTTAAGTTATTTATTTATTTTTAGTTTATTTTTTTTGCTTTAAACTGCTAATCCAGATTTGATCTTGGAAGTTGTTTACAAAATACATATTTGGTTTCACTGATATTTTGCAATAATAAGAATAATAAAGTCTAACTGTAATAAAAAATACAATAATTTTATTTTATCAGTTTTAAAACTGAAAATGTATTAACTCTTGATTGCATGAATGTTTGTAGAGTCTTACAGGACCTTTTGGGGATTTATTTCAAAGTGGTCCAAACAAAAGTTTAAGGTTTAAAAACTGTAAAATTCAAATAAAATACTACTTTAAAAAAAACAAAAAAACGTTTGTTAAATTATACTCTGTTAATTAAAATTACAATATTTCTAAAGGGCTCACGAGGCCACAGTCAGAGGAGACGGGTTTTCTGTTCAGCTGAATGAAGTCCTGGCTGTTTCGAGGTTTTACTTTGTGATTTGAAATTTTGAATTAATGATTAAAGAGGTTATCTCCTGAACAACCCATTATCACTCGGACAGTGTCATTCTTCTTTAAAACAAATATAATTTGACTGATAAGGTCCTGTGTGAACGTGTGGGTTTAATGTCACATTGTGCTTTAACCAGACTATCAGCGATTCATTATCCTTAAGGGCAATAAAATCTAGTCAAAATGTCCACATTCCCATGTTGTTTTAGGTTTTGGTTTATTTACTGAAAGCAATCTAGCTAGCAATCTAGATGGATAGACGGATGGATAGTAGGGCTGGACACTAATTCGATATATATCACGATATACTTTTATTCAATAATGATGATATAAATTTTAAGCACATTTTCAATATTTTGATAGGATTATAGCGTTTCACTGACATGTTTCTGTTTCTGTTCGGGTTGAAGTGGCCACTTCAGTTTCAACCCGATACAACTACGTAAGTGCGTGGTGACGCAGATGTTACGCAGAGCTCGAGTCCAGAAAGCATTGGCGGTAGCAGGCTAGGCTAATCTCAGACGCGCATTAAGTTTTCACTTCAAAATGAGTGCCCAATCTTCGCTTTCACAAGCGAAGAGAAAGCAGATGACATAATTGATAAGAAAGGAAAGATTAATTTGGCGGTGTGGAAGTGGTTCGGCTATCTAAGGTCTGATAAACGGCAGGTTTCAGTATGCTGCAAAATGTGCCGGAGAGTCTCTTCCTCTCAGCATGAGGGGACCTTCGTTAAAGTCTCCAACGTAAAAGGCAGAGGGTGTATATGCATTCTTTCGAGAAATGCTACACATTTTATTTTAGAAAATAAAGTGCATGCACTCATTGTGTCAACTACCAGTACATATGGGGGCCGAGATGGTGTAGAGGCAGGGCAGCCGGCTTGGGAGCCGAAAGTCCCAGGTTCGATCCCCAGTCACTGCACATCACGTGGCACCTCTGGGCAGCACGTCTCATCCCCAAAATGCCCCCTGGGCGCTTTCAATAGCTGCCCACTGCACCACTTGGTGGTGGATGGGTTAAATGCAGAGACTAATTTTGCCATTGTATGGAAACATACAGTGCTGACATTGTGATGATATTATTATTATTATATAATCTGTTTTTTTTTTTTTTTTTGGTTAACCTTTTTGTTTTCTTTAATTTCCAAACAAAAATGGAAAATCAAAGCTAAATTGGCCTCTTTGAGGAAAAATTTCCAACTTGAAGTATAAAAAACAATGAAAAAAATTACTTTAATCCCACTAAATGGTAATTGGTCTGTACTTATGTAGCGTCTTTTTATCTAATCAACATACTCAAAGTACTTTACAACACAATCTGTTCAATCACACAATTACCTCCACACACATTCATTCATGCAGCACTCTACTATATCTACAAAGCTAATTTGAATCTGTAGAGACTCATCAGTGATTTAGATCACATTCATACACTGATGGGACACGAATCAGAGGCATTCAGGGGTTCAGTGTCTTGCCCAGAGGCACTTCAACATGTGACTGCTGGTGGAATCGAACCCCCAACTCTCTCATTGGAGGCCGACCACTCTTAACCACTCAACCACAGCCGCCCCCAAAATGATTTCCAAATGGCACAACGTTCCACATTTTAAAACAAAGACTTTCTAAACACCCTCTCTTGTTTAAATTACACCAAGTAAACACAAAAGTCTGTCACATTTGAATAGATTTGATTATAACTGCCTGCTTCAGCTAATGCATGTGAACTAAACGGACACATTTTAGTGAAACTACTACACCACTGAGACACTCTTTAGATTTTGTTCCCTGTTCCCCATGTGGTGTGACTGGTAGATTTGGCCCTTTGCCCGTTACGTGTTCCTGATAGAGTACAGCAGGTTCATTGCAAAAATAACTTCACTCCACGCAAGACAGGTTTGACGAGCTTGAGTACCGTACTCTCTTGAAGCCTGAAGCAGCAGAGCTATTCTTTGTTTTAATATGGGCGGAGTGCTGTGATTGATTAAAAATAAAAAAATAACCAACGTGTTCTTTCTGTTTTTGTCTCTGCAGGTGGGAGTATTGTTGAACTTGCTGAGACAGATCTGCAGCCATCATGGTTAGCATCCCAGAATACTACGCAGGGAAAAAGGTGCTTCTGTCTGGAGCAACTGGCTTCATGGGAAAGGTACAGAAGTGGTTTAACTGGAAAGTTGCTCGCGCACATCATAACCCAGCTCGGGGATGCTGTTTAGGAATGTTTCAGGCGGATTCTAGCTGTTTCAACAGGAGGAATAAATAAAAAATGTGGCACGCTGCTGACATGGAGGCCTTTTTGGTAACCAAGTAGAAAGTCTGACACCTAAAATCATTTTAGTGTCCATTATCATTTTATGGTGGCATATTTTAAACTCGAAGCCTCAGTTCGCAGTTTAACAGCACACTCAATGTCTGAAATTTTTCACATGACCGCACCCTTGTGGTTCATAAAACAGGGCAGCTATTGTTCTGATTGACTTGGACTGAGTCGGTTCAGATGCTTCAGTTTCTAAAGAACGCATGGATTAAAAGTGAAAGTGACTTTTTATGCTCGTTTCTTATTAAAGGTGCTCCTGGAGAAGCTGCTGAGGTCCTGCCCGGAGGTCGGAGCCATCTATGTGATGGTCAGGTCGAAAGCGGGGCAGAGCCCTCAGGCCCGGGTCGCTGACATGACCAACTGCAAGGTGAGAGCTGGGCTCTGAGATGGCACTGAATGGGTTTTGGCAGGGAGCTGTGGAAGGCGAGGAGTTGCTGAAAAGCCTGTTGCACCTGCCGTGTGAACACAGTCTGGGATTTGTAGTGAATCATGACGTTTTGGCAGACGCACAAAACTTGAAACTGCCGAGTGCAGCATGAGTCTGCTGAAATTTGCTGAAGAAGCTGCAACTAAGTTGTTAAAACAATAAAAAGGCTAAACACCAGCTTAGGTGGAACAGAGCAAATTGACTAAAATAGAGCAAGTGTGCAGAATTTTAAAGAGTGGTTTTTGAAGGAATTGAAGAGCTTAATGTATTTCTATGCAGTTTTTTTTTTGTAAATGAAGTAAACTATTTTGAAAATTAAACTAAGAAACGTTTAATGAGTTGACTGTATAAATGAATGGCTAATGGCAGTAAGTATGTAGAAGTGGTTAGATTCCAATGGTTTAAAACAGGGTAATTATAATGTGAATGGAAAATCAGCATTTATAGAACTTATCAATTGGCAGCACAATGGATTAGTGGTTTGTACTATCGCCTCACTTCAAGAAGAGCCAGGGTTCAAGCCCTGGGTTGGACCTTGGGTCTTTCTGTGTGGAGTTTGCATGTTTTCTATGGGTACTCCGGTTTCCTCCCACAGTTCAAAAACATGCATGTTGGACTGCCTTCAGGCTGCAAAAGAGATCTGTGAGCTCAATGGGATTCCTCTGGTTCAATAAAGGTTAATTAATCATCACGTCAGTGTCATTTTCAAATTCTGCAATTCAAGAACTTTTTTTATCAACATAAATTTAATGAATTTATTTCAGTAACAGAAATGCTCTCAGTAACCAAAAAGGAACAATTTGAACCACAGAGATGAGAAGCACAAATATGAAGTAGAAATGTGAGGACGTGTGTCAAAAAGCGCTGGAGGGGTGTGATGGTGTGAGCATGTATGGCAGCTCGTAAAACTGGGCCACTGACATTTATTGATGGTTGGTGTGTAATGTAAAGAGCTTTACTTTCTATTTAGTCTAATGCTGCAAATTTTACTGGAAGCTACCTAAGAGTTAAAGTATTATGTCATTTATTAAGAACAAATAAAGTACTGAAACTTGTTAACATTTTAAGAGCCCGTGTTTAAGTTTGATCGGGTTTTCTTCAGCTGGTGCAAAAGTCTTCTGATGTGAACGAGCCGTAAAGTAAAACTCAGGAAGTCTCAACCTTTGCTTTTTTTGCTGTGAACATCAACTCATGCACCATTTGGATGCGATACATTTTTCTTTCAGCTGTTTGAAAAATTGCAAGCAGAGCAGCCAGACTTTGCAGAGAAGATCATAGCAGTGAACAGTGACCTCACTCTGCAAGAGCTGGACCTGAGCAAAGAGGATCAGAGCGTCCTGGTGGAAAACGTCAACATCGTCTTCCACTGCGCCGCCACCGTCCGCTTTAATGAGCCTCTCAAGTAAGTCTTTTTTTTTTTTATTCTTTATTCCTTTTTTACATTCCGCAGTGTTGCACAAGTAACGTTTCTACCTGTGATTCAAGTGATGATCAAGCAGGAAACTGATTTTCTGTGCTTTTTTTTTTTTTTTTTTTTTTTTTGTCTCCGTACTGGAAGCACCAGTGTTGACAGATTGTTCCCACTGTTTGCAGTATGCAGAAAAACACAACACCTGGCACGTTTTGCTTTTTCTGCTCAGCTGGAGCTTTTTTTTTTTTTTTTTTTTTTTTTTGTTACAACCTTTAAAAAGCGCTGTGTTCTGACACCCTGGTGTTGCAAGGTCTTCAGTCCATCACAGGGACACATAGAGACAAACGAAACAAACAACCATTCACTCTCTCACTCACACCTAGGGACACCTAGGGTATCAGCGCTGTTACTGTGCTAATAGTTCAGCAAGTATTCGGGTCTTTGGTAGCAAAACATAATGAAGCTTTGTATATATCAGGTATTTACAGGATATGTACCGGGTACGTACCCGAGTGCTGGTTGGGTGGTGCTACCCATTTCTTATAGAATAGAAATTCAATGGATCGCTGCAGTTCAAAAAGACAGATGGAATTCACCATCAGAAATGAGGTTTTACAGGAAAACCTCTTTCTTTTGTTATTTAACATAATTTTGGTGGAGTAAAAAGCATATCGGTACCTCTCGTGTAACTGCAGTGAAAAGAAAGAAAACTCCTGGGGAGGTGGGGGTTCCATCCATCCATTATCTTTTACCCGCTTCTTCCTTTTCGGGTTGCTGGGGTCACTGGTGCCCATGTCCAGCCATCACGGTGCGAGAGGCGGTGGCCACTCTGGACAGGTCAAAAGTCCATCAAAGGGATTATTTTAACATATCTTAACACAACTAGCAGTGGGCTTCATGTTGAATGTTTTATCTCTTGTGGGAACCTGTCTGAGTGGTGCCATGTAGAACAGTTTTATTTTACATGTTCGTTTCGCCTACTGACCACTTCTTTTTCTCTCTGCTGCCCCCCCCTTTTTCAGAGATTCAATGCAGCTGAATGTCCTGGCCACGCAAAAGATGTTGGCTCTGGCCCACAGGATGAAGCACCTGGAGGTTTTTCTTCACGTCTCCACAGCTTACGCCCACTGTGACAGAGACGTCATCGAGGAAGTCATCTACCCTCCCCCTGTAGACTACCGCAAACTCATTGATACTCTAGGGTAAGTTTCCAGCCGGCAGATTCACCACTGCTGTGGGGTTATTTAGGCACACAAAAATCCCCTGCATTATTATTCCTGCATGGGATTATGGACAAGGTGAATTAGGTTAAAAGCGATGAGGAAGAGATCAAGATTGTCTGATTCAGTTTTACTCTGGTTGTACAGTAAACTGCAGCTTAGTTGCACTGTTGCTGTTCTCTGCTCAGAGTAGAGATTCGTGTGACCGCTCGCTTTTCAGGAACCTTGAGTGAACAAAGACGCTGCATAGTAGATATTTAGACATGTTCAGTCTAGTTTTAGTTTTAAGTTTGTGTGTGTGCGTCTGCATGTTTTGCACAAACTTGAATAGGATTGAGCATACTCTGTTGATTGAACTAATTGTATTTTATTTTTTAATTAATTATTTTCCACTAAAAATTCAGTTTGTCAGCATTAGTCAACCAAGTTTTGTGCTGTACTATACCTGTGTATATATATTTTCATCTACCAGTAATCCCTAAACTCCAGTGTGTCAGGATGTGGTTACCCATGCAGGTTACAATGAAATCTCAAGACTATCGAGGCATTTTGCAGGAAAATGTGCTGCTTTGGGTCAGTTGGAAGTCATTCATTCAACCTTTATTTAAACGGGTTAGTCCCATTGAGCCACGAGGACTCATTTACAAGAGACACCTGGGTCATCCTGGGTTGTCCAACAGGTTAATGACGCAAAACACAGCTAAAAACACAAGATTGGCCAAACTAAACATTGGATTTATATGACGAGACCTTCTGAGCCCTGATCTAAATCTTATCAAACATCTGTAGGAGAAGAAAGAGCATCTATCTTTGAGATTCTCCCAGTGCTTAAAATTTAAAGAGCCTCAGAATCCATCATTGTTCAGTTTAAGAAAGTTGGATTTTTTTTTAAGTTCCTTGCAGAAAATTATAAGTTCTGAATGTGGATATGTAAAATCTAATTAAAGATGTGCATATTTGTTTTCTTTGTGGGTCTAGCTGGATGGATGATGATCTGGTGTCAACACTGACTCCTAAACTGATTGGAGAGCGTCCCAACACCTACACGTTCACCAAAGCTCTGGCTGAGTATCTGGTGCTGCAGGAGGCGGGAGACCTCAACATCGCCATCGTCAGACCCTCCATTGTTGGAGCTAGCTGGCAAGAGCCCTTCCCTGTGAGGAATTCACCTTTGCTCTTTTGTTTTTCATCGATTACTTGAAGTTATCCAGCTTTAAACAGAATGATTAGACACTGCTTTTTCAAAGACAATTTATTGATGATTTGCCTCCTATTCTTTGTGTCAGGGTTTTAAATTTGTCTGATTGGTTCATTCTTCCGAAGACAAAGGTCGGACTAAAAAAAGTTATGAGCTAAAACGAGTAGTTGGCAAAAATCATGCTTGTATTTGGGAAGCTCATGTGTTAATACCCTTGTACCTTGACTCTGACCTCTGCATAAAGGAAGCACGAGTGACTGTTTTGTCATGGTCACTTCTCAAGACTTTCCTGTCTCGAGCTTTAAAGCCTTTTTGGTGTTTTACGCACAGACTGTGCAGCTGCTGGCTGCAGCTGGAATGTCAGGAATGAGGAATGGAGAAGCACTGCTGAACTTTGCTTCATGTCAGTGAATGAAAAGCAGAACGTTTAAGATTTTCTGTGACTGTTTGTCTGACAAGATATTTTTCAGCATATAGACCAGATTTATCAATAGCTGTTACATCTCTAATTGTTTCATTTGATAAATATTTATTGTTTTTAGGGTTTTAATGCGATGGGAATGCATATTGTCTTATTTCTACTTGTACACCCTTTCACTTCTTAATTTTGTTGTTTCAGGGTTGGATTGACAACTTCAATGGGCCCAGTGGAATATTTATTGCAGTAAGTAATTAGAAGGGGGCGGGGGGAATTTACAACATATGTGTCCAATTTTAAAGTGCATTAATGTAATGCAGCCTTTTGTATCAGGAATTATGTTTAGTTGTAGGCATTGTTTGAGGGGAACTTGAATGCTTCATCTCTAGCAATTTGAAAATCTTGAAATATCAAGTTCTGTGTACTATGATGCATTTATAGATGACGTTACAAACGAGGTTATTGCACTAGACCGTCATTAAGGTCAACAATATTTGTAAATGGAGTAGCAAACGGTGCTTGTTAATTCAGATGAAATGGATCTCATGTTTTCTCTTTGCTCCAGGCTGGAAAGGGGATCCTGCGTACGATGAGAGCATCTAATGATGCCGTGGCAGACCTGGTACCAGTAGATGTGGTTATAAACACCACTCTGTCTGCAGCTTGGTTCTCTGGATCACAGAGGGTGAACAGGTGGGAAAACACTCATGTTTATATTCAAGTTCAAATAAACTTTGTCATTACCATCTCGTGATACATGAGGTGGAATGAAATTATGTACACAAGGTCCCAGTTACACTCAAAAATGGCAAAATATAAAGTATAAAAAGAAACCGTGGATAAGGATCTAAGATGTACACTAAGATATACGCTTAAACAAACGCCCAACGGTAGGCTAAAAGATCTAAAATATACACTAAACACTAATAATGTAAAACAATATGGTGTAACAACAGCAACCTGAACATGAGTCTGTGGTGAGCAGATGGGTATGAATGAATACAGCAGCATGAGATCAGCAGCAGTTAAGTTGTAATAAATTGATGGTTTACTTTGTAATCTCTCCATCTTGTTGCAGATCTAAAAACATCCTGGTGTACAACTGCACAACGGGTGGGATCAACCCGTTTCACTGGGGGGAAGTCGGTAGGATCCGTTTGCTTTTTTCTTTATTTCACACATATTGCAAAAAGTCCCAGATAAGGAAAGTGTAAAGCTGTACCCCCATTGCCAAACCCAGATTGTAATGTGATCCACTGCTGCTCCACCTAAACTAGAAGATTTAAGTCTAATTCCAGTCTATTAACCTATTTTTATAAAACCTGGCTTGAACTGAGTAAAGTGTAATTGTCTGTTAGTGTAAAAGAACAAAACAAGACAAAAATTGTTCATTTAAAACTTCTGTAAAGGACAACTTCGCTAAGAAACAGTGTGAAATTTGTTTCAGTCAAAACTGACAAAGATAGGGTCTCAAAAACACTGGAGAAATGTTAGTTTACTTTTTATGTAGTATGTTCACAATCTTCTGTCTTTTTTTTGTCCACTTTGTGTTTTAAATTTTTTTTTTTTTTTTTTACAGGTGCAAAAAGTCATTTTTTAAGCAGATTTATTCACATTGGGTCAAATCTTGATTCTCAACTTCAAAATCTAAAGTATTTTAAAGTTTATTTACTCATAATTATAGTAACTTTAATTTGAACTCGTCGAAATGACTCCACTGATCACACCTGTCTGTTTTTATGCTTTCTTAAATCTCCATAAGCTTTTTTTATATATATAACAAAAGCAGTTGGCAGCAATGATTTTCCAGTTTTTCCAGTGTAACAAAACAGGTGGCTTGGCAAGTGTAAGATCCTCCTCACAGAACTCTTCCTTGTATTTTGATCAGATATTTTTGTCTTGTTCATACGGTGTTTAGTTGAGGAAAATATAATTAAATAAACAAAACAAGCAAAGCTCGGTTATTTAAAATACTAAAATTGCTATTTATTTTATCCTTTGGCATCTGTAGTTATAAAGCAACTGTAAACTGAGTACCGATGCATTAAAATGTCATTTAAGCAGCTGAAATGAACAAATTGGTTTATAAATTAAACAACTTCAGTATTGTTGCATGTGTGGCCATATTTGAAGCACTTCTTTTGGATTGGATGAGCTCGTATGTTGCTCGTTATTATATTTATATTTTGTTTGTTTTTCCTCCAGAAAAAGCCAATTTCCCAAGTAATCAAGTAAAATTTTAAATAGTCTTTACTTTTTCCCTCCAGCTGTTTCTGTTCAGTGAGTTATAAAGCAGATTGATGACCTTTGACCCCCATGTGTTAAACAACCTTTTCTTCTTAGAGTACCATGTAATATCCACATTCAAGAGGAACCCCCTTGAACAGGCTTTCCGCAGGCCAAATGTTAATCTAACATCCAATCACCTAATCAATCAGTACTGGATTACCGTGAGCCACAAGGCTCCAGCCTTCCTCTATGATCTGTACCTCAGGCTGATTGGACGAGAGCCCAGGTAACATCCTCCGCCTCGTCATCCTCATCGCCGGCTCGGACCTGTGCCTTTCTAATGACCACAGCCCCTTCACACAATCACATCTTTGCCGCTTTATCCTGTCACTTCTCTTGTAGTGTAGTCGCTAACATTGTTGATGTGATGTAAATGTGTTTTAAATGGCTTGTTTGAAAGTTAGTTAAAGAGTGTATAACCCATGTCTCTCCTGAACCACATGGAGGTTTAAATGGGTTCTACACCCTTTTTGTTCAAGTTTTTATTTTCAGTTTCAAAACTTTGGCGTTGAGTTTAACTCGGCGTCTCTTGAAATGGACAGAGGATTTTATTGTTGCAGCTTTCCTTGGAAACTCCAAACGCATCTCTTAGTTGGCGTGGTGAGAACTGGTCTGAATGTCGTGTGATGGAGCTAATGAGAAGCTAGCAGAAACCGACCTAACGGTTTACTTTGCACCTTTTTTTAAGAACAGGAATTAACGTTCTTCATCTCCCCCCTCTGTGTCCTCCTTGTCCCGTCATGTATTTCTCTCCTGCAGAAAACTGTATAAACATGACCTTCAAGACCAATCCCTTAGAGCAGGCCTTCAGAAGGCCTAATGTCAATCTGCGCTCCAACCCTTTTACTAATCAGTACTGGACTACAGTCAGCCAAACGCTGCCCGCTCTGCTCTATGACGGCTATCTCAGGCTGATAGGCCACAAGCCCCGGTAAGGTTACCCCACCATTGTCCAGCACTTTCCCTGCTACCAGTAAGACCCCAACTTCACTACACATTTCCTCAACCTTCATCCCTTTTTTTTTTTTCCTTACTGGGGTTGTGGAAATGAGGACGGGTCCAGGGCAGCAGAGACGATTGTTGCTGTGACTTCCTTTGACCCCCCCCCATGGCACAGCAGGACAGAATTTTCTATGGAAGCGTGGCTTTTTGTTTTGTGTTTAACTCCAGTGGCTCCACTTGCCTTGCTCCATGCTGTGAACATGACAGCCTACATCATCTCCTCTCACCCAATCAGAAACCTCAGGACTTTTTGGCATGCGCATCGATTGTTTTCATTACTTCATGCAGGAGTCGGTGTCGTCTCAGACAGTAGACATTCAGGAGCTCAAGGATGCGTCTTTTAATTCGGAACGGTTATTCAAAATTCATGTTTCTGTCTGAAATGAGCTTGGCTTACAGCTTACTCACAATGCTGGAGTGTAACTAATTACTAATTGTAGCTTCTTCCACTTTGTGTTGATCATCCATGTTCAACACATTCTTTGAATCGGGGACTTTCATGGAAAGAATACGAGTTGTAGCACTCAGACTTTTTTATTTTTAGTAGAAATCTTTTAAGATGACAGTGTCGACCTAAATGAGAACAAACGACTCTGATTCTTCAGATTTCAACCTTCATCCATTTTCTGTTTTCTACATTCTTACTCTAAGCTTGGTAAATCTGTCTCACTGGGCTGCGAGTTGTTGGTGAGTGGCGCACAGGAGGGAGTCTCCTAAATGTCTCCAGAAAGTGCAACAACTTTACTTTTGAATTGTCACAAAATGGTTGCGGGCATCTTAAACACGTCTCGAACCTGCTTGATGGTCACTTTGTTGCAAGCATTCCTGAGTTCAATGAGACTGCAAAGGAAAATCTGTGCATCCTTGCAATTTATCAACAATTTTGAGTTCTTATCTCCTCTCCCAACAGCCGCAGCTCCGTGAAATCTCGCCTTAGCTCTCATTTTTCCACAATCTGTGATTGTAATTAACAAACTAACACAAATAAAAGATGACTTCTGGATTTATTTGACAAACCAGGATGACAATGGTGCCTAATATTTACTGACAATAGTCGGTACATTAAGTTTGAACTGATTTTGAATTATTTGGGTGTAAAATGATGTCCAAAATTTGGTTAACTATTTGAAACGTCCTCCTGTTCTGTTTAAGTTAAATCCAGTAAGTTGTGTCTAATTTGTATTTGTTCCTGTGAAGAAGTGCCACAGTGCTATGAACGTCTGAAACAATTCTTTATTATTTTTGCAAGTTTTTAGTAACTTAATAAATGCAGACTCAGCAGAAAATATCATGTTCAGACACATGCCAGAGGACTTTTAGTCTTTCTTTGGAAATCAGTTGTGTTGGCTAAAATGAATGCAAGACCAAGTCACCGTTACACAGGTCTGTGCTTGAAACTTTTCTTGTTCACGTTTGGAAATTAACTTCATTTAAGGCGTCCATCTGTCTGGAGTGGTTGAAAAGAAGTCAACAGGACTTTTTGTTTTTAATGTTTCACCTCATCCAGAAAACAGCCGTTTAGGAATGTCATGTTTTTGATAACAGAGACTCTCAGCCAACATAAAACTTTAGTCTGTCTTCACAATCGCACTGTTGATCGTAAACAATTGTTCGTGTTTCTTAATGACTTCAGGACATCTCTGAGTTGCCATCTTTTTTTTTAGCACTTTAGAATTACAGCTTTTATTATTAAATTTGTGCTGCATTATATTCATAATTGTGATTATGTCACTTTATGTAAACTTCACTTGTTTATTTATCAGCTAGACAGCCCAAGCTGACTTGGCTGACTAGTTGATCTTAATTGTTTGGATTAGTTAAGTCCAGTGACATAAAGAAACACCACATCTCTGGTCTGTAAATCTGGCAGTGAACTAGTAAACAGGGTTGAAGGCTTGTTCTGTCTTTACATTGTAAAGTTTTAGAACTATAAGGTATTCTACACAGGTATGACTGCGTTGTCACAGAAATTTGTTGCTGTCCAATAGAATGATTTAGCTTTTCAGGAGAGATTTGGTTGAGAGAACTGGCGCCTGAATTTTTGTGGTAAATGTGAAGGTGTAACCTGCAGCCTGTTGGGTTCAACGTTACCAACGGCAGGTCTGAATTACACCAGCCTCCAGCTTCTGTTGGTGTCTTTATGTTTTAATATTTATGGAAACCGAATAAACTTGATGTTTAAAGTAGGGATGCACGATATTATCGACATGGTATCTGTATCGGCTGATATTAGCGATAAAGTTAAATATCGGACATCTGCCATTCCTTCAAAATAACTCACTGATATAAAAAAAACGCTGTTTTTATATGACTGTCCGAGTGTTGTCATTGTGTTGGAGAGGGCAAATGTGACATTAAACAATCCAAGTTGAAGTGTTAACATCATTTTCAGCCCCCTTTTTGACATCTTCATTTAGTAGCAGGCCAAACTGACATAGACCATGAAGAATAATGTATTTTAATTCCACAGCAGAGAAAGCTTTGCAAGTAGAGCTAGGGGGAACGATATCGGTATTGGTATCGTTATCAGCCAAATAAGTTTTAACATATTGGCATATTGGATATCGGCCAAAAATCTAATATCGTGCATTCCTAGTTTAAAGGAACGATTAAGCTTTTAATTTTAATTGGCGCGGCTGAGGATGGTTTTAATCTTTTTATTAGTTTAGAAGATTTTCTTCAGACTGCAACAACAGTCCATTCAAGAAGACAAACTCATAGCACTGTGTCATTTGGGAACTGGTGCTTGTGGCACATTCTGAAACAAAACGTCCAATTTTTTTTCATTTAGAAATGTCAAATAGAGTAAATTGGAATCTATTCTCTGGTGTTTCATAGTTAAATGTTTCCTGGAACTGTCTTATCATTCTTCGTTTCTTACCCTTTTCTATTTTTCCTCACCGTTCTACTTTTATTTCCACATTTTGTCTTTTACCACCCTGCTTTTTTGCCATCTTCACTTGGTTTATCACAGAATGATGAAGACGATCACTCGCCTCCACAAAGCCATGATGGTGCTGGAGTATTTCACCAGCCATTCATGGGTCTGGAACACAAACAACGTGACCATGCTGATGTCCCACATGAGCCCCGAGGATAAAAAGGTACAAAAAAGAAGAGCGAACACGAGTCTGTTGGAGACAGCAGGGAAATCTACAGCAAAGAAAGATTAAATACAACATCCGATCCTGAGAAAGAAGTCCCATTTGTTTAATTTGACTGTTGAAGGGAACTGATGGCGCTCGTTTTCATCCCTCTAGGTGTTTAACTTTGACGTACGTCAGCTGCACTGGGCAGAGTACATGGAAAGTTACTGTATGGGAACCAAGAAATACGTCCTGAATGAGGAGCTCTCGGGGCTGCCGGCTGCACGCAAACACCTCAACAAGTAAGGCTTCAGTGTTTCTGGCTTGATGGTCCTGAGCAGAGATGTAATGACTCCTAGAGTTTCCTCAGTCTTTCTGATTGTTTAACCATCATAAATCATAGGTGGAACAGTGAGAATCTAGTCTCTGGTGTAATAATGATCCAAGTGATTTCAAAGCCACAAAAGCTTCTTGGGGAAGTAGAGAGCTGCTTGACCTGAATCCAGTGGGTCGTTTGAGATTAATCTACAGCAGCAGAACTTTCTTTAGCAAGAAATTAGCTCAGTAAAACCGATAGTTGGTTTTTTGGCATGTAACCTTTTTTTTGTGTGTGTGTGTGTGTGTGTGTGTGTGTGTGTGTGTGTGTGTGTGTGCAATTTGAACAATTCACAAATCAAAACATTCAGCTCATTCAGGACATTCCATTGGTGTCTTTGGTATCTGAACAATTGTTACATTTTTAAATATTTAGCTTTTTCTGCCACATTTTTCCCATTGAAGATGAATGGAGCTCTCTTCACGTCCTTCAAATGTCCTTGAGCTGTTTGCAACCTTATACTGTTATTATTTCAATGTTTTTTCTGGTTCAGCTCCTTTCTGCTCCTTTCAGCTGATCTCTACAAAACAAAAATTTGCCATTTTTCCAGCTTTGTGTTAATTTCAGCTTTTATGCACCTTTCAGCTTCCTTCTGCTAAATTCAGCATTTTGCTGCTTTTCAGCTACTTTCTAGGTATCTGCTGCCTCTTTCTAATATGTTGCTGTCTATCTGCTAAATTCAGAAATTTATTTTTGCTTCAGTTTTGATTTTTTTCTGCTCATTTCAGTTTCTTTTTTGCTAGTTTCAGATTTACTGAAATATTTTCAGTCTGTTTGCTCTATTCAGCTTTTTTCAGCACATTTCTATTTTTCTGCTGCTTTCAGTTTTTATCTTCTGCTTTCAGCAAATGTCAGCTGTTCAAATTCAACCCGCAGTAACCGTTCAGCAATGAAACCTTTTCAGCTGGTTTCAACTTCTTCAGCAGCTCTGAGCAATAATCATTTATCATTCACGCTGCTTTTTCACAGGAAATTCTGTTTCTCTAGTTGTGCTTTAAGTTCAAAACGAGCACCAACCTCATGGTTTGTTCTTCCCGTTTTATTCCTCCTAATTCCTTCAAAGACGCCTGCAGTTTTCATGTAGCAACAACTTGAATAAAAATTAATTCTGTACCTTTGGGTTTGTAAATCAAAGACCAGTTGTGGTCTTGAAGCTGTTTTAAGATCTTTGAATCCCTTTTTGATTTATAGGATTCTGCTTTAAATTGCCCAACTTAATCTTCTTTGTCTGATCTGACCAACTAATGAGCATCTGCTGAAGGAGAAGCCGGAACGATCATGTTTTTCCCTTTTTCTTGTTTGTTTGTACTGTTGGCAAAATATATCATCAATTACTGATATTTATTTATTTTTTTAATGAAACTTTCAAAACTTATTGAGTGAGTGGACATCTATACCTGATTTAACTTGAGTTAAGCCAATTCAAGATGGCTGCCACAGCAAAGCATTCTTATCAAACACAAAAAATGGCTGTAAGTTTACAGAAACTGAGCTAAAATCTGCTGGTGCGCCATTTTTAATTTGATACAGTGAGTACAGGTGGTTAAAGAATTTAAACGTAAAGATGAAGAATCCATTCTGAGAACATGAGTTTACATAAAGTCCATAAATCTTCTCACATTTTTGTTCCTCCAGGCTGAGAAACATCCGTTACACCTTCAACACCGTCCTGGTGGTGTTCATATGGCGCATCTTTATAGCCCGGTCCCAGATGGCCCGAAACATCTGGTACTTTGTGGTGAGCCTCTGTTTCAAATTCCTCTCGTACTTCCGAGCGTCCTCCACCATGAGATAATGAGCAGAGTTTGGGGCGGAGAGATGGAGGAACGCAGAAAACGACGCCGGCTGCGGACGATGAGAGGTGTCTGCACCCAAAGCTCCGGTTTCCCTGATGAGCAAATAAAGAAAACAAAACGCCATGGACACACACAAAGAAGAGCTCTGGGGCGAGACCGGAGTCTGCAGCGGCCTAAGACGGTGAATATCTCTCTGTCACTTGATCAAACCCAGGATTTGTCTCTCAGGCTCATCATAGAAAAGACTTCTGAACGTTTGAGCTCCTCTGGTGCCACATTTTCTTCTGCTCACTTCTTGAAAAGCTATGCATCAGATGACGCTCCGCTCCAAAGCTACAGGCTGTTGTTGTTTGTTCTTGTTGGGGCTCCTTCTGTTTTTTTTTGGGTTTTTTTTTTTTTTTTTTTTTTTGCTCGAATCAATATTTGCCGAGCAGAGATTTCATCTAACAGCGCAAAATGATTTTAGATTTGTTCCAACACAAACCATTTGAACAACAATTAAGACTGTTGTAAAGGGTTCAGGGGGGTGTTTGTGCCGAGTCATGCATGAAACTATGACGACACACTCCTGTATGTCCTCAGACTGCAGTGAACTCTTTCCTTCGTTAAAACCGAGCACAATGCAGACTTTACTGAGTGCCTACACACTGATCCTTCCAATATCAGCAAATCATGCAGAAGCTTTCTCCTTCGTCAGGTCTCGTCTGTCTAGAAGCGTTTTATGATTGTAAAGAGGTGAGAAATGGAGTCACTTCTAGGATATATTTTTCCCTGGGCACGTTGAAATGAAACACATTCTGTATCATTTCATACGTAGAGTCGTGCTACAAGTGATTCTTAAATCAAACTCGTGGCTTATTTTCCCAGAATGCATTTTGTCAAACGGCACTTAACTGTCTGGATGTTCTGTTACTGTAGTTAGTCTGTTACATTATCCAATCCATTTGTTTGTGCAGCTTCTGAAACAAGAAATGCTCCATAACCATTTATTTTATTTATTTAGTTCCCTCAAGAGTTTCCTCATATTTTTAAAACTTGTCCCAGATCTTGTCAAAAAATAATCATAATGGACGAAAGATCTGTGTTGTATAGGAAGTCTCCTGTTGCATTTTTTTCTATCTTTTCTGTGACCTTTAACCCACTGTGAGCTCTAGAAACTGTTTGTGCTTATTGATATTTGGTTTTGTTTGCATCTTTTCAAAGTGTCTTAACTTTAAATGGACATGTCGGAGTACCATCGTCTTTTAAAGGATGTGATGCTTTATTCCTTAAATCACAACAAAAGCAGCTGTAAACCGTGAACTGTGCCTGAACTCTTAATATAATGTGAACTCGAGCGATCCGGTCTGTTTTCTAGTTATTTTTGTGTACAGCTCTGTTCAAGTAGACAAAAAATGAAAATGAAAATGAAAACGTGTATTTTTCTGCTCGTCACGAGTTTACTGCACCAGCATCAATCATTGTTGATAATGAAAAATGTAATACACTTCTTTAAACTTGGATTATTCATTAAAAAAGAGGTTTTGTTTTACTTGGATATGTGTGAATGTGCTTTTTACTCTGAATGTAAAAGAATAACCTCTTTGGGGGCGGCTGTGGCTGAGTGGTTAGAGCAGTCGTCCTCCAATGCAAGAGTTGGAGGTTCAAATCCACCAGCAGTCACATGCTGAAGTGTCCCTGGGCAAGACCCTGAACCCCTCATTGCCTCCGATGTGTGTCCCATTGGTGTATGAGTGTGATAAAGCACTGATTAGTCTCTTTAGAATGATTTGTTCAATTAGCTTTGTAGAGATCTAGTAGAGTGATGTATGAATGGGTAAATGAGGCACAGATTGTGTTAAGAGCTTTGAGTGTCTTCATAAGATAGAAAAGCGCTATACAAGTACACTCCATTTAAGGTGAATTCTTCCCCCCACTTTGAAACAAGAAAAATATGGTTTTCATGAAGATTTAAGTTTTTAATTGAATGAGAAAATGTCTGTCCTACAAGTGACTGGTTCACCTGTACGACTTATGCTCTGTGATGGTGGATGGCAACGTCGGTTTTGTCGAAGAAAAAAAAAAAATTTGTGGTTTTTAAACCCCTTGTTTAGCCAGGGAAAGGAAGCTGAAGCAGGTGTGATGTGAGCTCATTTAAGTTCTGTACAACCTGAAAGTCCAGCTCCTCATTTACACGTGAGCAAGCTGTTAAAATGGTCTGAACGAGAGGAAATAAAATCATGAAAGATCATTTCATGTTCAGTTTTTGACGAGAAAACTTTTCTATTTTTTTTATTTTTTTTAAACTAACAAAAAAAACCTTTTCTATTTTGAAATGTTCCTGAAACGGAAGAGAGTGTCGCTAGTCTGTAGTTGTGCATGTTTTAAAAATGGCACCCAGGTTTCTGAGACTGGCCTGAACAGAAGGCCCTAAATCACCAGAGCTGTTTAAATGGAGAAACTTCATTTTCAGGAGCAGTAATCAGAGTTTCTGTCTGGTCTGAGTTCAGTTCGAGCAGTTTTAAGGACTTTAATGCATGATGCTCCCTTTGAATGCTGCCTTGATATATCTACATGTCATGTCAGTGCAACTACAGCATGTGCTCTCAGACATCATTACCTGCAGCGTCCCCTCAGTGTGGACTGAATTTGGCAAAAGGGCCTCATCTTAATCCACTCCCGTGTCCTGGAACAGCTGACAAAAAGATCTGACGCTGTTGACTTTGACCTCTACAGGATTTTAAACAAGTTCATGGCAAAAACCAACACAGACATGTTCCTGTTTTTAGATTTTTACACCGTTTTATAATGTAGCATGTTTCCTGATTTTGTTTTCCATCACTTTTATTTACTTCTCATTTTATATGAATGTATATTGCTGTGTGTACCTTATCTGTGGTTTTTGTTTTAAACAGGTCTCTCTTGTAAATGAGTCCTCGTGACTCAAATGAGACTAACCTGTATAAATAAAGGTTGAATGAACAGCAGAGCTGGATATCATCAGCAGAAAGCTGAAATTACACATTTCTAAACTGTGGAATTGCCTGCCCCAGGAGGAGAATATATAAAAAAATAAAATGGGTAGATCAAATTGAACGCAAATAACAAAATCAATTTTGGGGCCTTTTGAACAGTGGAGTCCAATTCTGGTCCTCGAGGGCCACCATCCTGCGTGTTTTCGATAATTCTCTCCTGATTTAAATGAAAGGGATTAATGGGCTTCTGCAGAACTTTACTAAAGAGCATGAAAACAACTAAAACATGCAGGATAGTGGACCTGGAGGACCAGGTTTGGACACCTTTGTTTTCAAAGGTTTAGTAGCAGAATTTGCAAACAAACCAAAGAACTAGAATCGTATAGGCAGAAACATGGGTGTGCTATGGGGTCTCCAGTTTCTCCTATTGTTGTCAACCTGTATATGGAGGAGGTAGAAAAGAGAGCCTTGACGTCCTTTTCAGGGACACCACCAAGTCATTGGTTCAGGTATGTTGACGACACCTGGGTTAAAATCAAATCTCGGGAAGTCCCAACATTGTATTGACCACATCAACTCTGGATAAATGCATCAAGTTCACACGAGAAGATGAAAAAAAATGGCAGGTTGGCTTTCTTGGACTGTGAGGCCTCAGTCTCTGATAGAGGACATTTGCAAACTGAGGTGTACCGCAAACCCACCCACACAGACCAGTATTTGCAGTTTGACTCCCATCACCCTTTGGAGCACAATTTGAGTCATCAGGACTCTGTACCACAGAGCAGACGGCGTCTCCACTAACTCAGGAGCCAGGCAGGAGGAGAAATGCCACACAAGACGACAGGCTGTATGTGGATATCCTAACTGGGCCTTATTGAAAGCAGAGAAGAAACTCAAACAGGACTCCAGTCAGCCATCGGGTGAAAAGGAGGAACCCAGACCAGTGAGAAACTGAGACGTTTATTTTCTAAACATAACATCCCAGTGGCTTTTAAACCCCAAAATACATTACGGCAAAGACTGGTTCATCCCAAAGAGCCAGTCCCCCGGCACAAACAGAGTAATATTGTGTATGCTGTTCAGTGTCAGGAGGGCTGTGATCAGTCTTACATCGGGGAAACTAAACAACCACTGGCCAAAAGGATGGACCAGCACAGAAGATCAACATCATCAGGCCAGGACTCTGTGGTCTACACTCGTCTCCAGGCCAGCGGTCACTCTTTCAAGGATGAAGATGTTCACATCCTGGACAGAGAGGAACGATGGTTTGAGAGAGGGGTAAAGGAGGCCATCTTTGTGAAAGAAATTGTCCATCATTAAACGGGTGGAGGCCTCTGGGTTCATCTGTCACCCTCTTGCAATGCTGTTGCTAGTATCACTCAACCCCCCTGTGAATAGTAAACAGCCATCAGTGTGCTAATGATCCATTGTTAGGCTGATGGTCCTTCTTGACCATGTGAGCAGCTGGTTTTGGTTGTCAGCAGCAAACTGGTTGATCCACTCTGAGAAGGTGCTATTTAAGAGACTGAGCTGAATACAGCACCTCAGACTGAGGAAGTCTCTCGGATGAGAGACGAAACGTTTCTACTTTTTTTGTTATTTTAATTTTGCTTTTTGTATTTTGAATGTCCAGAGGACTAGATTTAACTTTTTTAGATTTTTCTACCTGGATTATTGAGCATGCATCAGGAAACCAAAGAACTGTTTGGTTGAATATGAAGCTGAAGTAGCATAGCTTCGCCTAAAGACCAAAGGCTGCAGCTGGTGAGGCTCTGAAGCCGAGCTAAATGTTAAAAGCTGAAAACCTTCTGGGAACGTTATTACATGTTGGGAACTAAACTGAAATGATGTGACTGTTACACCTGAATGTACAAATTTACATTCTGGGTGGTTCCTCATTTTGCTACAGTCGCCTTGTTTTGCTTTTAAATATTGTTTCCCAAAGATGACCTTTGTGCAACTTTAAAGTTCTTCAACTGCTCTGAGACGCGTTAAAGCAAGAAGTTGTCGACTCCCCAGCTTTTTGTTGCTCCTCGTCTTCAAGTTGCTGCTTCGCCCACTCTCCACGGCCTTAACCCCAAGGAGGGATGGTAAATGTGTGCCGCAGTAGAATGTGCATGATGTCGCCGTGTGTGTGTGCACAAGGAGGAAAACCTCAAAGTTCATGCTCAGTAATCCAGGTAAAAAAAATCCAACAAAGTTCAATCAGGTCATCTGGACAGGTTTTTTTTTTGGTTTTTGTTTTGTTGAGATGTTTCATCCTTCATCCAAAGAACTTCATCAGTACAAGGAACCCCAACAAACTCAGGTCATCTGGACGGTTTTTGTTTTTTTGTTTTGTTGAGATGTTTCATCCTTCATCCAAAGAACTTCATCAGTACAAG